TGGTCAAGCTCTCCCTGAATTCATGAGAGATAATTAATTATCCTCTTTGACCACTTGGCTTGTATACATTAGGGATTACTACCTTGTAAAATTTAGACTTTTATTCATTTCTGTGTTCTGTTAGACACTGATTTTCTAAAGGAAAGGAATTACATCATATTAATCTTTTATTTGGCAGAAGTTTGAGTGAATGGATGGAAATGGAAACCATCTTGACAGGAGTAGCATACAATGCTGTGAATTTGCTTTAGCTTTCAGGAGACTTCCCTGCTTGTCATTTCTCTGCCTAAAAAGGGTTTAGCCTATGTATACACAAAGAAGGCAAAATGAGGGCAGGGGAGAAAATCAACATGGTGGAACCTACAGCAGCAAGGTCATTGGGTTAAACGATACTGGGAAATACTGGCTCCAAACTTCAAGGAAAGGAGAAGGAAACAGGGAAGAAAATAACATACCTGCACAAAAACAGGTAAGCTAGGCTGAGAGATTGAGAAACAAACAGAATGGAAACTAAGCTCCTTCCTTTCATTTGCCCACTGATCTCCTTTCCTCTACTGTATCAACATCCCTCAAATCGAAGTCTTAGATTTCAGCATCTTAATTCATTAAAAGTCAATCCAACCAAAAGTACCACAGGAAAAGAACTTTTTTAGGTATGTTTATTCCGTTTCTTAGAATTCCCAAACCATCTTATTTGTCCTGGATTGAATTCCCTGGAATTGGGGTTTTACTAATTACCAGCCTAACCTGAGTTAACTGCTTTCCCTAATTGGAGCCATTTAGTGATAGTTGTTTTCTACTTAAAGCTTGAGTCATCTGTGTAAGTGTCCCAAGAGAGTCTACCCTACCTTTCTAGTTATGCTTAGGAAATGATCCATCCATCCATACATACATACAAAGAGAGATTAGGATAGAAGAACACAAAGGCAGAGAGAAAGAGAGAGGAGAGGAACTCTACAGGGAGAGTCACTGTAGAGGTTCTTTATGGTTCACTGTATGTCACTGGGTGATGAAAGAAATTATCTACAATGATGGACTCAGGGTAGAAACATAGGAAAAGAACAAAGGAAGCTTGTCTTCTCTTTATACTCCACATAAGAGTAGTGAAGGTTGTCTTCATCCCTGATTATTCTGACTGTGGAACCTACAGCATCAAGGTCAGTGGATTAGCTGATACCGGGAAATGGGAGAGAGCCAAGGAAGGAAATAATATACCTGCACAAAAACAGGCAGTCCAGATAGGCCTGTAGATATTGTGAGTTGTGAGTAGCTTGCTCCTTCTTGTTTTGAGCAAGGAGTTAGGGAAGAATGTTACTGGGCAAGTTAGTACAAAGCATAAAGATTTCAATTAGTACATTTTTTTAAGAAGTGGGTGTGATGCAAATAGGACCAAAGTTTAAAAGATTACTTTAAAACCACACATCAGCATTGTGATTCATTTTCTGAAATGTTTAAGGAATAAATGTTTTAGGAATTGGTGAGGTTGCCAGCTATCTGTTGAACATTTAGTGGCATTGACAGTTGCCCTAGACTTACCACTACAGACATCTGAATGAAGGTGGAGGGTTCCATAGGCAAGCCTAATGGTGCTTCTTTATGGTTCAGATCTTTCTTATCCTTTCCTTGGTATAATCACTTCTCTTCAAAGTTAGAGAAATGGGTCTACTCAAGATACAGCTTCTTGAACTAGCAAATTGGTTTATTTCATAGAACACTGCTCTGAGGATCATAGTTAGAAAATGTAGGGACAACTTTTAGGAGACATTAAGACTTATGGGAAAGATCAAATATATTTGCAAAAATCAAGAAAGCTTAAAAGAAAAATATTTTAAAAGGAATATATACATAGTTCCCAAACTTTCCACCTTCCCGTGTGTATATATATGTTCTGTGTTAACACATGTTCTGCATAAACACATATATACATGTATATGTTTCACAGAGAATAGAAATACAGTTGTTTAAGACATGTAATATTAGCTTTTTAAAACTAGAAGAGTCACCTGTAGAACTTGGTTAAGAAAATAAGAGACAAATTGGAAGACAGATGAGAGGAGGATTTTTCAGAAAGGAAAAAATTCCTTTAGAAATGTTTAGAAATCAGAAAATGTAAGTTACATGATTGGAATAATAGTTTTGATAAACCGAATTGGTAATTAGCAAGTTACTATAGCAACAAGAGATAAGATGACTTTGTTTTCTGAAAAAAATAAAAAAAAATATTTTTAGTAATATATTAAAGGAAGACGATGCTCACTGCTGTGTGCAAAAAAAGTAGTTTGATGGGACTTAATCAGGTAATCAATGAACAAATGCATGCATAAGTATTATAATATAAATAGGAACCCTTTAATAGAATGCCCTTTCCTAAGGCATACACAAAACAATAAAATCATCAATGACAGAGAAAAAAGAGTTTATTATTTCCTGATCCAGTGATTGGAAAAGAATTATCCAAGAGAATTTGAGATATTTCTTTTTAGAAGAAGAGAAAATTTGGAGGAAGATAATGGTGAGAAAATAATGGTGAGAAAATAAAACTTCAGTATACATATAAAAGTGGAGTCACATGAGGAAACTAATGCTTAGCAAAATTGCTCTTTAAGAAATGGAAGCTTGAATTGGAAATTCATTGCCAAAGTGTATGCATTATGACTAGGTATCTAAGTAGGGTAAAAGGAGAGATAACTATCAAAAAAGATATTCATGACATATGAAGAAAAAATAACTTAGGCAGAATTTGATGACTAATTTGGTTTCAGAGCCTAGGAAATAACAGATATAACAATGAGAAAATTTGGTATCTAGGTGAACAAAAATTAAGTCGTTGAGGAAAATTGGTTTAGTGTTGAAGATAAGGATGGTGTATTAGTTTGGTAATAAGTAAGTACTGCAGATGGAGTGGGTTAAACAGAAATTTATTGTCTTACAATTCTGGATATGGGAAGTCTGTGATCAAGTTTGCAGTAGGGGTGCGTTCTGAGGCTTTTCTCCTTAGCCTGCAGGTGTCTGTTGTCTCCCCAAGTCTTTATTTATATTTCTCCCTGAAACTGCCAGTTATCTAAATTTCTGCTTCTGAGGACACTAGTCACATTGGATTATAGCAAACCCAAATTTCCTCATTTTAATTTAATCACCACTTTAAATACCTTATCTCTAAATATAGTCACATTCTGGGGGGGGGCATAATTCAGTCCATCATAAGTGGGAATGGCAAATTTGGGTTAAGGTGAGGCTCAAAGAGGAAGAGTCCTAATGAAAATGTGTGGCTCAGGAGAGAGAACCAAAGCAAGGAATTCTGAGGTTACATTAATTAAAGAGAATAGAAGGCAGAAGCTGATAAGTTTTTGATTACAGGAGATCTTGAAGGAAATGATTCTTCTGTGTGAAAGGAAATTTAGAGAAAAGAGAAAAATGAAGACAAAAATTGTGAGTCATCTTCACACTTAGGACATGGAATGGAATAGGCAATAAGGGACACCAGGACGGTGTGGAATCTAAAAGTCAAAGGAAGGAGAGACTTCCAAAGACTGGGAGATTGAACCTCAGAGGCTAGTGACAATTAGGGCAGAAGGAGGCCATTGAATTTTCAATCAGAAAGCCATTGGTATCCTTAAAGAAAGAGATATGGAAAACTGAGAATAGATAATTTATTCAAAGAGATTTAAAAATGAATGAAGAAAGATCTATTACAAATTAGAAAAATAATGATATTGATACAAAAAGGATAAATAGTCTGAGTAGAGATAGCATTTTTTTCTCCAAGATAAAATGATATGTGCATATTTGATAGCAGAAGAAAAGAAATTAATAAAGTAAAAGAAATAATTCTGAAAAGGGAATAAATTCGTAGGACAATGTCTTATAACATATGATGTTTAAATTGTATTCCACAGAATCCCACATCTTTTCCCACCCATCTAACTACCCCATAAAATTCTACTGGAGCAGCTCTATATTCATTGCTCATTAATGTCAGTTTTCATGAATTATATTTCATTTATCAAAGACTTCTGGTATAAAACACCCTTGTGATCTCCTTATCTAGAAAACTCAGTACAGAAAGGATGGAAGGAGACAGAATGGTTCATCTTTTGAAAGAAAATAAAATAACATACAAGCATTTCTATAGTTTTCCTCCTCAGAATATTCTCTGAATTATTCTTTAGAATATATATTTGTAGCCAGGCATTGTGGCGAGTGCCTGTAGTCTCAGCTATTTGGGAGGCTGAGGCAAGAGAATCACTTAAACCCAAGAGTTTGAGGTTGCTGTGAGCTGTGATGCCATGGTACTCTACTGAGGGTGATGTAGTAAGACCTCTGTCTTTAAAAAATAATAATAATAAATGAATAAAAGAATATATATTTGAAGAGAGCGTGAGTTATTTAGAGGAAGAAAGGGAAGATGGACAGAACTCACCAGTGATGGCTTTGTCTTTACCATTAAAATATTCAGTCAAGGTATAGGCCTTGCAAAAATCAGATGAAGTGGGAGCTTGAGGAAAGAATTTTGAAACAGTTGTGAGAAGATCACTAGGGAATCAGGAAGACTCAATTATGGGAAAGAAAATCATCTTGTCTTTCCTTCCTTGCCTAGCCTAATTTCATATTTATCGAAACAAAATGTTTCAAATTATTGTCCGATAACCAGCAGGACCCAGTGCCTAGAAGTTTGCTAGAAATGCAAATTCTGGGCCCCAACCTGACCTCAGCCTTGCTGGATTAAAACTCTGGGGACCAGCAATTGTCATTTTAAGTCACTCCAAGTGGTTCTGACACAAACTAAAATTTGAGAATCACTGGCCGGAAATGCTGGCTATACTTTCTGACTGGATTTTCCCCATTCTGCAGCTTTAGTTGTTGTGAGTGAGCAGCTATGGAATATGGACCAGTTCCTTCTGCCTTCGTCTTCCTCTGCACCCCCAGTGCAGGCATCTAGCCAGAGTCGGGCTTCTGGGAAGTATACTCCTCTGATCAATAGCAGAAACTCCTAGAAGGCTTGAGTGCCCTGGGAGTTGAAACTCTCACTTCCAACTTGGAGATGGAGAGCCCAAATTGGACCACCTCACAGGAATTTATCTTCTCTGCTTTCCCTTATTCCTGGGGAAAGTCTGTCATCTGCTTTATCCCACTGCTCTTCATCTATGCTTTCATCGTTGTTGGGAACCTGGTCATCATGGCAGTGGTCCATCTGAACACTCACCTGCACACCCCTATGTACTTCCTTATTAGTGCACTTTCTTTCCTGGAGATCTGGTATACTACTGCCACCATCCCAGAAATGCTCTCCAGCCTGCTTAGTGAAAGGAGGAGCATTTCCTTAAATGGTTGTCTCCTGCAGATGTATTTCTTCCATTCCACAGGCATCAGTGAGGTGTGTCTCCTGACAGCTATGGCCTTTGATCGCTACCTGGCCATCTGCAGTCCTCTACATTATCCCACTATCATGACCCCCAAGCTATGTGCCCAGCTGACTTTCAGTTGCTGTGTCTGTGGCTTTGTCACACCCCTGCCTGAGATCGCTTGGATCTCCACATTGCCATTTTGTGGGTCAAACCGCCTTGAGCACATCTTCTGTGACTTCCTCCCAGTGCTGCGCCTGGCCTGCACGGACACACAAGCCATCATTATGATTCAGATAGTGGACATTGTCCATGCAGTGGAGATTATCACAGCCGTGATGCTCACTGTCATGTCCTACGTTGGCATTGTGGCTGTGATCCTACGCATTCGCTCCGCTGAGGGCCGTCGCAAAGCATTCTCCACTTGTGTCTCTCACCTCACTGTCTTTTTGCTTTTCTTTGGCAATGTGGCTCTCATGTACCTACGCTTCTCTGCCACTTACTCCTTGTTCTGGGACACAGCCATTGCTCTGGGCTTTACGGTTCTGTCTCCCTTCTTCAACCCCATTATCTATAGCCTGAGGAATAAAGAGATAAAAGAAGCTATAAGAAAGCACCTGGGTCAAGCAAAGATCATCTGCCAGTAGACCAGGGAACTCAAGGAAGAGCTCTTAGTTCAGAGTCTACATAGTTGTTGAGCCCTCTTCATCCTCAGCAGTCTATCTTTTCCCATCAGCATTTTACTGAAACTGGTCTCCCACAGGTCACCAATGAACAATAGTTGAAGTCAATGATTTCTTTTCAATCTTTATCTAATTTGACATATTTTTGAATTAATTAAACATTCTGACACATTACTGATGGTAAATTCTTTTTGTTGAAATATTTTACATAAACATTAATTTTAACCAGTCAAAACATTTATAAGACATGGTAGTTGAAAAATTATCTTTATAAACTAAGTTTTCTTCATGGTGTCTCCAGTGTATATGGTTGAAGAATGGCTCAAATTTCTAAATTGAGTATTCTGGAATTAATCAATAAGTCATCTAATGAAGTTATCCATTAAGTAATCAATTTTTTCTTGATTAAAAATGCCTACTCTTTGTATTTACTGTGATTAAATGCACTGTGCATTTTAAGTCATAAATGTAATAAATAGCAGTTGAATAAATAAACCAGTACCAACATGCTGCCATTAGATTTTTCTAGCCAACTAGTCAACTGTAGTAGCAATAACTCTTCATTTTTCAAGGCTTCTTCTCCTTGGGCTTTCAGGATTCTGACCTCTCTTTTCATCTTACCATGTTGAGGGCTGGTAAGAACTTCTCTTGCTGACTCTTCTTGTCATACATGCTTCATAAAAGGTTATTTACTCCAGGGCCCGTCCCACAGTTTGGATGGGCTAAAGCTTATCACTGCACAAACATCAGTAGGCATTCCCTCTCACACCAGCACAAATCCTATAGCTATCAGAGTAATTGTCCCACTTTGGTGTACACAGCCCTTTCCGTTTTTGTTTTGAGATAGAGCCTCACTATATCACCCTCAGTAGAGTGCCATGGCATCACAACTCACAGCAACAGCAACTTCAGACCCTTGGGCTTAAGTGATTCTCTTGCCTCAGCCTCCCACATACCTGGGACTTTAGGTGCCTGCCATGATGCCCAGCTATTTGTTGTTGTTGTTGTTGTCATTGTTGTTTATCAGGCCTGGGCCAGGTTCAAACCCTCCAGCCCCAGGCATGTGACTGGCACCCTAACCACTAAGCTACAGGTACAGAGCAACACAGACCTTTCCTTATCCTCACCCCTTAATCTTATGATAATTTCAAGTTAAGTGGAAACCTAGAAATAGAGAGGAAGCTATTACAGAGAAAAGGCTCATATTATCTAGTAAAGGGCTAGAGTAGAGAAGAGAAAGAAAATGAAAAAAAGTTGTAGGTTGTGGGTAGAGGAGGTCTGGGTCAAAGAAAGGCTTCAGAGAATACTTGGTTTAGAAAAAGGAGGGAAGAGGGAAAAGGGGGATACAGAAGTATTTATAAGTTTAAGTTATGTATTTTTAATGTTCCTCAAAATACTCAAGGAATAGCATTACTTCACTAGTTAATTATCGTCCCTCTGCTTTTTTAAGTGCAATATTGCTACAAACGTAAACACATAAATCTCCATTTTATGAACAGGTCACGTTATTTTTTCCCTCTTTTCTCCACTTTTAAAAATTTGTACTGTACTTTCCTAAATGTTATCAGAGGTCGTAAAAATTTGTCTATCTAACACTACATCGCTTATATCCACACTCTCCCACCTTCAAACTGCTTTCCCCACTGCTAACTGAATTATTTCTTGAAATTTGAATCGAATAACTTTACTATTGTGCCTAAAAACCTTCTGTGATTAAACCTACCCTCACTTTAAATCATCATCATATAGTAATGTTCTTGGCTACCCTCCATGTGCGTTTGTGAAATTGTGAAATTAAATTGTGATATAGGGTATGTATGTGTGCACTAGGGAATAGTCCAAGATGAGAGAGAAACAAGAGAAAAGGAAACAGAGAAAGAAAGCTCACAGTGTGCTCTTAGTGAATTTACAGGATTGAGGAAACATGTACCTTCTACCTTGGAGAGAATAGAGGCTGCTAACTCATTCCTCGTTAACTTTAATTAGACAACTATTTCAAACTAGCAGCATTTTGGGTCACCAGGTAAGTAAGCTATGGTAACATAATCAAATGAAAACTACGGTGCTTCTAAAATCCAAATAGGCCCACTAAGCGTTGTGCCTTTTTTCTTGGTATATAATAGGCAAGAAGCAACAGCTTCAAGAAGGGACATCTTGATAAGCCCCATAACAAACACTATATCCCTAGAAATTTAATTGAGGTAGAAGGGCCCTGGATTTTAGTCAGTTATTTCCCACTCTCTGACATGCAAATTCCTTACAGTAAGTCTAAAGTAGCTTCTTCTTGCTCAGTAGGTCCAATAAACACAATGTCAACAGTGCAAGGGACCAGTGTGGTATCTTCTGAAAGGGAATGGTGATCCAGATTCATGAAAATTAAATTGTGATATAGGACTGGACAGTTTACACAGTATGTGTGCATGTATGCTTTATGTATTTTTATTAAGGGATCATTTCCTTAAGTTCATTTCTAAGGCTTCTTATAGGAATCTTTTCCCCAGTACAATTGTTATAACTAATTGTTGTTGAACTCATTGAAATCTGAAAATATTTGTCCTATTTATAGGTTTTCCTATCAAATTAAATAATTCTAGAGCACCGACCATTTGTTAAGCACTGGTTTAAGGTTATAATAATACAGCAGTAAATACAGCAGTAAAATGGTCCCTGACTCCTAGAAGTTACATGCTAGCAGAAATGGATTTTATGTCCATCATAATACTTTTGTTCAAGTCCCAACCTTATCATTTTTAAAGGCCTCTTTCTGTACAGAATGTGAAGGTTCTGACTGAAACTTTTATGGTACCATTCTTATAGGAACTCTCTGCTGTATGAGGTCAGACAATTAAGCTGGTGAACTCATTCTAGAAAAAGTGCTACATACCTCATTGCTGACTAGGTCCAATAAACACAAAGTCAACAGTGCAACAGTACTTTGGAGTACTCCTTTTGGCCTTCTGGTAACCATAGTGATATTCAGCAATGAGGTATGTAGCACTTTTTCTGGGATGAGTTTATAAATTTCATTGTCTGACCTCCTATGTTCTCCTGACAATTTCTGTGGTCAATGCAAGGTTAAAAAATTCAGAGGGAGGTGAAAAGGTTAATATCATTGTAAGTATGGAGTCACCTTCCATTGCCAAAAGAGACTAATCAGAATTTAGGTGTTCAACGATCCTGGCATCATCAGGGACTTCCCATATGTCCTCACACCTGCTTAAAGGATCCTCTTCTTTCCCACCACTGGACACTCTGAAAGGATGGAAGTTCAACTTGCTTTGTAACTCTGCCAATCACAGGATGAGATTGTATTTGTTTTTAGCTGTTTCAACTCTACAGTCAGAGGAGATAAGATTCCACTTCTGTGCACACCCAGAAGCTCTTAGTAGAAATAGGAAAGCTGGTGGTATAATTTTCTCCAAGTCCAAAGACCAGAGAACCAAAAGCACCAATGACCAAAGGCAGGAGGGAAGAGATGCCCCAGCTCAGAACATCTGCCCTGTCTGTGCCTTGTTCTATTTGGTCTGCCTTCCGCAGGTGGGGTGGTGCCCACACACATTGGTGAGGTAAATCAGCACTCAACTAATTGATTCAAATGGCAATCTCTTCCTGAAACACCTTCAAAGACACACTCAGAAATAATGCTTTATAAGCTATGTGGGAACCCCTTTGCCCAACTTGACAGATAAAAGTAATCACTACACATAAGGGAGACTTATCTCAACTATACAGCATAGTTAATCCCCAACTTTCTTGTTAGTACTACTGAAATGCTTCATAAATTTCTTCAAGAAGCATTTTAAACTATCTACTATATGCGGGGAAGTCTGGTAAATGTGGGAACAACATGGGTCTCAAGTATAATCTCTGATATCCAGAATCTCACAATTCAGGGGGAATTAGAGCTTAAGAAATAGAAGAAACTGGAACGGGTCTTTTGCTCTTCCTCATCCAATAAGTAATCACTCTCTACTCTTCTTTCCACATTAAAAGGGAGCGGGAAGTCAGAATACATAAAATTAATGAATGTCTTGTATAAGTGGGAACATAAAATATTTTTATTAAAACATGGAACTGTCTTAACATTTGTTTTTTGTTATCTCATCTGTGCTGAAAATCATCAATGTGCCTACTTTTTTTATTCATGCAACAGGGTAAAGAAAACAAATTGTTTTTATTTAAAAGAGTATTATTAAAGTGATAGAGAGCACAATGTAACTGAATTGCCCAATATTGGATGCATTTGCCACATTTGCTTTTTACCCTCTCAGATCTTTCCCCTTGGTGAACACAGGCTTAAGATAAGAGATGAGGTTGTAGAAGATAAAAAGACACAAAGATCAATCCTAACTGAGATTGCACTTTAGAGACAGAAGGTGGAAATTAATGTATAAAAAATGAGAGTCTAGCTAAGGAAAATAAAGGAAGCTGTATTAGACATTTGAGTAGTTTATAAAGAAAATGAGATGACCAAGGCCAGAGGTTGTTTTTCTCTTTGCTCTTTCCTTGTTACCTCATCTATCTTTCCTTTTCTCCTTTCCCTTTATTTTCAAACTTTTCCTCTTTCTTCATACTTTCCATACTTTCCCACGGCAATATGACCTAGAGTTAATGAATGAAGTGAAAGATGCCTTTAGAATAGCACCTCTAAGTGTCAGTTATTTTTCTTAATTAATCTTAAGGGAATGGGCTACTTTCTTTGGTTTTGATACTCAAAATCCTCAGACACTCCGGAAGAAAACTCCCTGGGGAAAATTAAGGAGTTTGTCATCTCTATTAAGTCTCTAGTTGTGTGTGTTGCATCCTATTTTCAAGGTAAAGGCAGAGGTAAGCATGAGCCTTGATGTCAGAAAGTTCAAAATACGGAACCAAGTAGTACAGATCTTCCCCCACCTATAGATTCACTGGCCCAGAGAAAGGATCCAGAACATTTTGAGCAGGTAAAAATCAAAGGCTTTGGCCAAATGTGCCAAGGAAGAAAATGGTATGTATAGAATGTGTATTAGTTGAGTGAGCAAGTTATGGGGCGAATGTAGACAAATCCAACCTCCCTGTACACTACTGTTCACGTGGGCATGAGGGTTCAGGCCCAATTTTGATAAGAACTATAGCCTATAAAATAATTTCTGTTGAATCACCTCACTTAATCCTTACAACAAACTAGCGAGGCAGAAATTATATACGCAATGTACGTATTTTAACAAATCCAAACAAACGGATTTGTCTAAGGTCAGAAGGTTGGCTACTGACAGAACAAGTAACCAAACCAAGTCCATATGTCCAAGTGCACGTCTTTCTTCCTGCAGTAGCACTCAGCGTCACTGTCTCAGCATTACCTGTCAGGCGCTACCTGAACTCTCCCCAGTAGACACATTTTTAGTCTTATTCACCCCTTTAGGGAAGAAGACTAACTAATAACTATGATTGTATCGAACATTTATTATCTCTGTGTGCCTAGACCAGGATGTTTCTGCATCAGTTACTTTATTTAGTGCTTATAATATAATGAGATAAGTGATCCCATCATTTCTTGTTTGCAGTTGAAAAACATTAAGACAAAGAAAAGGTAAGTAACTTTTTCAAAAGTGTAGACCTTGAATCCCAGATCAGGACTCCATTGACAATGATCTTCAGCTTCCCTGAAATCTCTCTGTACATTATCTGTTCCTCTGATTGCTTTCTACCTGGAATTATAATTAATATACTCAACTTGGAGCATACTGGTCATTGATTAATATCTGCATGTTTCCCCATATCTAGCAGGAACTCTATACAATAATGGTCTCAGTGAATGACTGTCAAATTGAGTCATGGTTTCTGATGTTCTGTGTGGTTTCATCCACAAAAAGCATAAAAGGGAAAAGATGCTAACAGTTGCCTCTCTATTTTTGGACGTTTTGTTGCTTGTGTTTAGCTCTTCAGAACTTGGAATAACAGATTTTCAGAGGCTTTTCTATGTAAACAGAGGGTCTGGGTTCCTAGGGGAAAGAGAATGGTTTGTACAAACAGCTGTAAGTTGATTTATCTACTAAGTATAGTAGAGTGTAAGGACACTCTAAACCTTAATTGCAGGTTGAAAGCAATAAAATGTTGGCATTTTGCAGCTAGGAAATCATAAATTTTTAAAACATATTAGTCTTAACTCTAAAATTCCATCACATTCTAGCCTACTCATTTCACATGTTAATAGTCTCATGTCACCTACACTTTCATTTCCTCTATAATATGACAGTCTGATTTCCTGATTATGATTTTTCCATCAGCCACAGGAACTTTGAACTAATTTTGTCTCAGGCACTCTAGGAAAATTGCTCTAAAAACAAAAGCAACTTGATAGGAGTGAAAAAACTATGGATCACATATTCCTAAATTAGAATTAATCAGTAAATCAACCAACTAATTGTTACACATCATCTCTGTCTCTGTTGATGTTCTATGCATTTTACATATTACTTTACAAAAATGATCTTTGTCCTCATAGAGTCTGAGTGGATGATAAAGAATAACCCAAATGAAATGGTGAATTGAACTCTGATGTATTCTTCTTCTCAGCAGACGAGGACCTGATATACAGGGACAAAGGTGAAGGGTATAAATTCTTTCTAAGAAAAAAAAAGGAAAGGAAAAAGGAAAGGAAAAAAAAGGAAAGGGGACAATTATGTCAATTATGGAAGTGTGTTCTTGACTATCAGAGGCAATTAACCATTTATGTTAAATTTCACGGTATCATTGGCTAGGAGAAATACAGCAATTTATATAGTTGGAACCGTGCATCTTTTGTGGTGATCCTTCTCATTCCAGAATATTATATAGTACATGGAAAACAGTAATTGCTCACTAAATATCATGAATGAATTGGATGTCTAATTAATTTACTAAACTGTCTGTTCAGGAATCTCATTTCTTCTTCTTCTTCTTCTTTTTTTTTTTTTTCACCTTACAGCTGAGAAGATGGCCAATAAGAGTCAGACAGTAGTGATAGAATTTGTATTCACGGGTTTTCCTCACTTGCGGGAAGGTGGGCTTCTGTTTTTTATTCTCTTGCTACTCATCTACCTGTTCATCATCATTGGGAATCTTATGGTTTTCTTTGCTGTCAAACTGGATTCCCGCTTGCACACCCCCATGTATTTCTTTATCAGCGTCCTCTCCTTCCTGGAGATCTGGTATACCACGACCACCATCCCCAAGATGCTCTCCAACCTAGTCAGTGAGCAGAAGACCATCTCCCTGGCTGGTTGCCTCTTGCAGATGTATTTCTTTCACTCCCTTGGCATCACTGAGGTTTGCTTGCTCACCACCATGGCTATGGACAGATACCTGGCCATCTGCAACCCCCTCCGCTACACCACAGTCATGACACCTCAGCTCTACAGTCAACTGACTCTGGGCTGTTGCTTCTGTGGCTTTTTCACGCCACTCCCTGAGATTGCTTGGATAGCCACACTGCCATTTTGTGGTCCAAACCAAATTCAGAATATCTTCTGTGACTTTGATCCCATCCTGAATCTGGCGTGTATGGACACTGGCACAATTACATTAATCAAGATCGTGGACATTGTACATGCTGTGGAGATCATCACAGCTGTAATGCTTGTGGCTTTGGCTTACGTCCGGATCATTGCAGTAATCCTAAGAATCCGCTCTGCCGAAGGGCGCCGAAAGGCCTTTTCCACCTGTGCTTCCCACCTTGCTATTTTCTTAATATTTTTTGGAAGTGTAGCTCTGATGTACCTTCGTTTCTCTGCAAAGTACTCCTTCTTCTGGGACACAACCATCAGCTTAATGTTCGCAGTGTTGTCTCCGTTCTTCAACCCAATTATCTACAGTCTGAGGAATAAAGAGATCAAGGAAGCCATAAAAAAGCACATGTGCCACTCTATTATACTCACACATCATATCAAACAAGCCAAAAAGCATACTAGTTAATAAAGTGTATCTATGCAAATATCTACATTGCTGTTAGTGTCTCTATTCTGTTGGGCTTATTTCTTCTGTGTAGAGATAGTAAATTAACATTTCACTGTTCTTACTATCCCTATGAATTTGTTAATAGTAAATATCCTCAAAGATTGAGTGACCATAATATCCAAAGAAAGTGGAATAAAATCTCCGCAAGTCCTTGTTTTATTATTTTTTAAAATCCAGAGAGTCTTAAAAATTCTTTTTCTGCCTTGATATCTTCTCTAATCTAGTGAAATAGAAATAAACATACTTCTCTGTTTTTATAAACCATTGCTGAGACCTCTTTAGGATAATGTTTTAAAGTTTCATTTCAGAATATTACAGGGGTACACAAGTTTTGGTTACACAGTTTGCTTTGTACAGATTGAGTCAAGGTTACAAGTGTCTTCTTCACCCAGATAGTATGCATTGTACCCCCCTTAAGTGTGAGTTTACCTATCCCCTCCTCCCCCTTCACCTGCTTCATTTTACTTCCATATGTGTGCATAAATGTGGATCAATTAGTGTTGATTTAGTACTGAGTACAAGTGGCATTTATTTTTCCTTTTTTTTAAATTTTATTTTTGGGGATTCATCAAGGGTACAAAGAATTAGTTTACACTGATTGCATGTGTTAGGTAAAGTCCCTCTTATAGTTGTGTCCCACCTCCAAGAGGTGTGCCATACATCATGACCCTCCAGCCCCCTCCCATCCCCCCTTCCTGCTCCCTCCATGTATTGGGTCAACTACTGCCTTCATATTAGAATTGAGTGCATTGGATTCTTGCTTTCCATTCTTGTGATGCTTTACTAAGAAAAATACATTCTACCTCAATCCAGTTTAATACAAAAGATCAAAAGTCTCCATTTCTCTTAATGGCTGAATAAAATTCCATGTTATACATATACCACAACTTGTTAATCCATTCCTGGGTTGGTGGGCATTTAGGTTGTTTCCACATTTTGGCAATTGTAAATTGAGCTGTGATCAACAGTCTAATACAAATGTCCTTATGATAAAATGATTCTTTTCTTCTGAG